TTTCCCTTGCCAGTCTTGTCATAGAACCTGTCTGAAAGCGAGTTACAAAGCTCTAAAAAGAGCTATTCTATCACCTGTTCTATCATTGTCAAACACAACATCTTCAATTAATGCTCGACGAGACTCCACGTAGTCCCACATTGTCTCGGCACTTTTTGTCGACATACTCATTAAGGTATCCATAACAGTAGATGTGATTCTAAAGAACACTGAATTCGTCGCTATGGGCGTGAGATGGATCAGAAGATCCAATAATTTGCACAATTTGGTAAAGAGTTGTGGTTCACGGTTCTGGGTTCTGTGAGACGATTTCTAGCAAAGAACTTGCAACATTATCCATAGCAGTCTGATATGTAAAGTTCTTTGTCTGCAGCTCAATCGTAGCATTTAACTTTTCTGCTTCTGCTTTTGCTTCATCATCTTTCAAATCTTCTTGATCGGGAAGCTTCATATCAATATTGGTGGAGGCTATAGTCAGGAAAAGAGTATCCATTATCTCCTGAAAATCATACTCCGGGATATTCTGTAGATGGTCTTCATCCTTGATATCTTCCACGAAATTCAGTATGACGGTGGTGGCGCTGTCAATGGACGCCGATATCCTAGTATGCATTAATGAGAATGCAGATGTAGGAAAAGATACAGGCTCAACCGCGATATGCAGGCCCTGGCCGATGCGTATATGCAGGATTTTAACCGCAACTAATCGCAAGGTTCAGCGGCTAACAATGACTGCGAAAAGGTACAACAAGATTTTGCTGCAACTAAGCGCAAACTTTGGCGGTGACGATGACTGTTAAGAGCTCTTGGCACTCCGAAGGCTTTAAAAGGAGGCGTAGTGACATAAAGTAAGACTTTTGGATACATAGCCATATAGCCCACCCCAAACACCTAACTATAATACAGTAGCACCTGCATCTCTATAGACTGACGAAGGATACTCAATTAAGGTTTAGTTGCTATAAAAGACAAACCAAGAACGTTACCAAAAGAAACATGACATACAATTTCATTGGAGGAGCTATACTCGCTGGTCAAGAAAAGGGAAGAGATTC